GGCCCTCTTGAGGGCCGCTTGGGTCGTCCTGGCGGATTGGAGGGGGCCTCTTGGCCTGTCCTGGACAGTGTAACACCACAACATGATCGACCCACGAACCCGGAAAGGAATATAGAACTGTAACACATGGCAGCGTTTTCAAAGATACCTGATTGGGTGACGGGCAAATGCAATGCTGAGTGTATCGATCTTGATGTACCCTGCCGAGGGCTGTGCTGTGCTGCGCCGTGCTGAATTGCGATGTGCCATGGCGCGACTGTGCTCTATAGCCTCGTGGATCGAGTCCTCCTTTGCATCCGAGTCCTGACCGAACTGATCTGGATCTTAAGCTCGAGCTGCCTGAACACATAGTAGCTGCCCCAGAGCTAATGGACAGGGGAACATGCCAGGAGGACGCGCCGCGAAACGTCCCAAGGGATGCGCCAGGCGACGTGCCAGGGGACGTGCCATGGGGTCGCACCGCGGGACGTGCCAAGGGGACGCGCTACGGAACGTGCCAATGGATGTGCCACGGGATGTGCCAGGGGACGCGCGACGCGACGTGCCAGGGGGACTCGCCAAAGGACGCCCCACGGAACGTGCCAAGGAACGTGCCAAGTTGCAATGCTGAGTGCATCGACCTTGATGTACCGTGCCGAAATCAGTGCTGTGCTGCGCCGTGCTGAATTGCGATGTGCCATGGCGCGATTGTGCTCTATAGCCTCGTGGATCGAGTCCTCCTTTGCATCCGAGTCCTGACCGAACTGATCTGGATCTTAAGCTCGAGCTGCCTGAACACATAGTAGCTGCCCCAGAGCTAATGGACAGGGGAACATGCCAGGAGGACGCGACGCAGAACGTCTCAAGGGACGCGCCAAGCGACGTGCCAAGGGACGTGCCATGGGGACGCACCGCGGGACGTGCCAAGGGGACGCGCTACGGAACGTGCTGGGGACAAGCGTTTCGCTCGAGACATCCTGTCAAAATCATCTGAATTCCTACGCGCGGGACGCTGCACGCGCGAGACATCCTCGGAATTCCTGCGAGCGGGACGTGATAACAAGCATTTCGCCTGAGACATCCTTTGAATTCTGGCCCCCCACAAGGCCACCGCTCGAGACATCCTCCAATTTTGCAAAACCAGCGTTTCGCTCGAGACATCCTCAAAATTATGAAAAACAAGCGTTTCGCTCGAGACATCCTGTCAAAATCCAAAGAAATCCAAATACCCGCGCGCGGGACGCGGCACGCGCGAGACATCCTTGGAATTCCTGCGCGAGGGGCGCTTTTCCGTGTCGCGGTCGGCTCTGCAAAACCAGCGTGTCGCTCGAGACATCCTCAACAAATTCTGAAACCAAGCGTTTCGCTCGAGACATCCCCAACTCTGCAAAACCAGCGTCTCGCTCGAGACATCCTCAACAAATTCTGAAAAACAAGCGTTTCGCTCGAGACATCCTCAAAAATAATTTCGCCGGCCCTCTTCCCGCACGTAATTTATCGCAGAATAATTTCGCCGGCCCACCTCCCGTCGAAACCGGGGGGTAAACCAACTAAAAGAGAACCCTGGGCCTGCGCCCTTTCCGGGAAAAAGCGAATACGCTGAAAATGTGCGTTTTCCCATCGGAATGTGACCATGTTTGCCTCTTTGGCGTCCTCTCGGGGCCCTCTCGGAGCGTCTTTGGGGCCTCTTGGACCGTCTTGGAGCCACCTTCTGAGGCCTTCGGGGCCTCGAGGCCCGTCTCGGGAACAACTGAAGCCGTCTTGGAGCGCTCTTGGACCGTCGTGCAACCCCTCTGGGGCGCCTCTTGGGCCCTCGCGGGCGATTCGACCACGTGGTGAGGCCGTAAAGGGGCGAGTTTGTGCACATGAGTCCCCGCAGGTTTGGCACGCGCTTCCTCCCGCCATGTAGGAGAGACCAGGGCTGACCCGTGGACCCCGTCCACGACATCTTTCTGGAATGGTTCTCGGAGGGACGGTGGAGATGTTGTCGAAAACCTGTGAGCACGGCGGCGGCCGGGGCGGCGGCAGCGAGACCGCGCCTTCGCGTCCGAGCTCTAGCAGCGCTCCAGCAGCTGGGCCGTCGCATGGCCGCCGCCGTCGCCATCATCGTCGGCGTCGTTGTCGTCGCCGCCACGGGGCCGCCGTCGTACCCGTCGTAGTCGACGTCGTTGTCGTGGTGGTGGTGGTCGTCGTCGTCGTGGGTTCTGGGCACCAGAAGGAGGCTGGCGACGTCGGTAGGACTGGCTCGTGGACGCCCTCCACGAAATCTGCACGAACTGGCATCTGATTGTGGGGTCCGACCTCACATTCCGCGCATATTACTGCGTGCTGCTGGTTGCTGCCGCTTTTTGTGTACTCTTGGTCGTGCTTGAGGCCGTTGCTGCGTGTTCTTGCTGCTTGTGGCTGCCAGTTGTTGCTGATGGCCAATTCCGCTTGCGCTTGGTGCGTGCTTCTAGCCGCTGCCTGCCGCTGCTTGCTGCTGCAGTGTGCCGCCCGCTGCTGCTGCCTGCTACGTGCCCACGGGAGAGATCGATGCTGCTTCCGGGCACTTGAAGTGTCGCACGGTGGCATGGGGGATCACTGTGGACGCGCAGGGAAGCACGTCCTTCTGGGCGCCGTCTCCACGCCCCTCTAGGATCAGACTGTGTTGGGGACTGCGCTCCCTGGAGGCCTCTGGTGTATCTCGCCTCACTTGGGCGGCAGCGGCGAAGCGCACCCTGGAGCTGGGATGCAATAGCAAAGGGAAGCAGCGCCGATGCTGGTGTGCATTATTCGGCGCTCTTCCGCTCGCGCCCGCACCCATGAAGGAGGGCAACGCTCCCCATGCGGCCACTGATGGCGGGCGCTTCCGTCTCCTTGGGAAGCGTTTGGGGGCCTCTCGGGGTTTCTTTTCGGCCTCCTGGGGGCCTTTCCCCTTGGACCGTCTTGCGCCTCCTCGGGGCCTCTTGGGGCCCTCTTGGGCCGTCTTGGGTGCCCCTTGTGTTTGGGCCGTCTGCGGCCGTCTGTGGCCCCTCTGGGGCCGGCTTGAGGCCGTCTTGGGGCCGTCTTGGGCCGTCTTTGGCCGCCCTTGGGGCCGTCCTGGGGCCGTCGGGGCTGTCTTGGGAGCCTCATGGGGACCTCCTGAAACGTCTTGGGCCGATCTTGGGGGCCCGTATTGTCATCGTGGACGCTTTGAAAACGAAAAGCACGGGAGTTGCGAAAATGTGCGTTTTCCTAAACATGATGGACCCACGAACCCGGAAAGGGATATAGACATGTGGAGCATGGACACGTTTTCATGATACCCAACTGGGCAACACCTCACGAAACATCCCACGAGACACCTCACGAAACAGCCCACGAGACACCTCACGAAACATTCCACGAGACACCTCACGAAACATTTCACGAGACACCCCGCGAAACATTCCACGAGACACCCCACGAAACATTCCACGACGACAGGCAACCACTCAACCAAGGCGGTGTGGTCGTGCTGGGGAGTGGTCGTGCTGGGGTGTGGTCGTGCTGGGGGGTGGTCGTGCTGGGGGGTGGTCGTGCTGGGGGGGTGGTCGTGCTGGGGGGTGGTTGTGCTGGGGCGTGGTCGTGCTGGGGCGTGGTCGTGCTGGGGCGTGGTCGTGCTGGGGCGTGGTCGTGCTGGGGCGTGGTCGTGCTGTGGTAAGGTCGTGCTGGGGTGCGGTCGTGCTGGGGTGTGGTCTTGCTGGGGTGGGGTCGTGCTGGGGTGTGATCGTGCTGGGGTGGGGTCGTGCTGGGGTGTGGTCGTGCTGGGGTGTGGTCGTGCTAGGGTGGGGTCGTGCTGGGGTGGGGTCGTGCTGGGGAGTGGTCGTGCTGGGGTGTGGTCGTGCTGGGGTGTGGTCATGCTGGGGCGTGGTCGTGCTGGGGTGGGGTCGTGCTGGGGTGGGGTCGTGCTGGGGTGGGTCGTGCTGGGGTGCTCCGCACCCTGTGATTTATCGATCGGGTCGTGCTGGGGTGTGGTCGTGCTGGGGTGTGGTCGTGCTGGGGTGTGGTGCTGGGGTGTGGTCGTGCTGTGGTCGTGCTGGGGAGTGGTCGTGCTGGGGTGTGGTCGTGCTGGGGGGTGGTCGTGCTGGGGGGTGGTCGTGCTGGGGGGGTGGTCGTGCTGGGGGTGGTCGTGCTGGGGCGTGGTCGTGCTGGGGCGTGGTCGTGCTGGGGCGTGGTCGTGCTGGGGTGTGGTCGTGCTGTGGTGAGGTCGTGCTGGGGTGTGGTCGTGCTGGGGTGTGGTCTTGCTGGGGTAGGGTCGTGCTGGGGTCGGGTCGTGCTGGGGTGTGGTCGTGCTGGGGTATGGTCGTGCTGGGGTGGGGTCGTGCTGGGGTGGGGTCGTGCTGGGGTCTGGTCGTGCTGGGGTGTGGTCGTGCTGGGGTATGGTCGTGCTAGGGTGGGGTCGTGCATTTCGCTCGAGACATCCTGCCAAAATTCCAGGAAATCGTACAAAAACAAACGAATTAGTCGAGACATCATCGAAATTCCTTCGCGCGGGGCGCTTTTCCGCGTCGCGGTCGGCTCTGCAAAACAAGCGTTTCGCTCGAGACATCCTCGGCAAACTCTGCGGAGCAAGCGTTTCGCTCGAGACATCCTCAACGCACGAAAAAGTGGCCCGCACCCTGTGATTTATCGATCGGGATTTCAAAAACAAGCGTTTCGCTCGAGACATCCTCAAATTTTAATTCGCCGGCCTCCTTCGACCTCGTTATTTATCAGGGAAAAAATTCGCCGGCCTCCCTCAAGTTGGCACCGGGGGACAGGTTTACCTACTAAAAGAGAACCCTGGGCCTATGCCCTTTCCGGGGAAAGTTGTGGGATAAGTTTTGCTTGTGCGGGCTCTCTCGGGCGTCTTCTGGAAGCCCACTTGGAGCGTTTTGGGGGCCTCTTGGGCCGTCTGGAAGCTATCTTGAGCGTCTTCGAGCGGGGCCGCCCCGGAGCGCGCGGGGCCGGCCGGAGAGCTCTACTGACATTTGACCCGTTTTCCTTCCGGCACGCGCCTCTGCCGGCCAAGGAGAGATGACGTCGGGCTCCAGCTTTGCTTCCCGCATCTCGCTCAGTAGCGACAGCGCCCGCTGCCACTGCTCGCCCTTCTCGCACGCACTGATCCCAGCACTGTAGCTGACCTGGGACTCGTACACCGTGGGTGAACAGCTCGTCGAAGCTGAACAGTTCGGGTGTCTTTGGGGCCGTGTCTGGGGCATGTTGGGTCCTTCTAATCACGAGCCTGTCTGGGGCGTCTTGAAAGCGTCTTGAAGGCCTCTGGAGGTTTTGGGGGAATCTGGTGGGGACCTCTTGGAAGCTTCTGGGAAGCTGTCGGGGAGGTTCTTGGGGCCCCCAGAAATCTCCATGAGCGAGATGCCGCAGCACGGCATCTCGCTCCACTTGATACTTGGAAGATGTCGGAATGCTATTGGGCTCTTATTGGGGCCTGCGTCGTGTCCTTTTGGGCCAATGTGAGATTATGGTCGGGCCCTCTTGGGAGTCTCTGGAAGGTTTCGGGGCGGTCTTTCGGGTACCCGATATGCCCGCGAGCGAGATGCCGCGGCAGCATCTCGCTTCGGGTTGATTTTTGGATCGGGCGCCTGGGACCGATCCGCCTTCGGGCGCTACCAATGAACCAGCCTAAGACTGGCCAGCTGCCTTGAGTTGAGATGGCCTCCAGTCGGCTTTCTTGAACCATGGGGCCTACTTTTGGCCTATGAAGCCGCTCAGGGCTCCCCTGAAAGCCGCCAAGGAGCCTGGAGAACACCGACCTGCAAACGTAATTAGCCTGGCGAAGAAAAAAACTAAATGCAGTTGTGAGTACCGCAGTCGTGGGTATCGTCTCTCGTGGAGCTCCCTACAGGCCACCAAACGCCGATGTGGGTGGGGGGGACGCATGCGAACTGCGCCACCTGGGACCCTCGGTGGAGCCCCCTTATGGGGCCGCGAAACGCTGTACTGGGCGGGGGGACGCATGCGAACTGCGCCACTGGCACCTTCGGTGGAGCTCCCTCTGGGGCCACGAAACGCTGTATTGGGCGGGGGGGGCTCATGCGAACTGCGCCACTGGTACCTTCGGTGGAGCTCCCTCTGGGGCCACGAAACGCTGTACTGGGTGGGGGGACGCATGCGAACTGCGCCTCTGGGACCTTCGGTGGAGCCCTGGGGCCACGAAACGCTGTACTGGGCCCCGGAGATGCATGTGATCTGCGCCTCTGGGACCTTCGGTGGAGCTCCGTCTGGGGCCACGAAACGCTGCACTGGGGGGGGGCGCATTCGAACTGCGCCACTGATACCTTCGGTGGAGCTCCCTCTGGAGCGACGAAACGCTGCACTGGGCGGGGGGGCACATGCGAACTGCGCCACTGGTACCTTCGGTGGAGCTCCCTCGGGGTCCACGAAGCGCTGCATTGGATGGGGGGACGCATGCGAACTGCGCCTCTGGATCAGCCCCGCGACTCCAACGAAGGACCCATGGGGGCCCATCTGGAAAGAAAGAACTTCTGGGGCGCGCCCAGGAACTCAGGGGGTCCAGCTTCCGCGGAGGAAAAACATGATCGACCCACGAACCCGGAAAGGAATATAGAACTGTAACACATGGCAGCGTTTTCAAAGACACCTGATTGGGTGACGGGCAAATGCAATGCTGAGTGTATCGATCTCGATGTACCCTGCCGAGGGCTGTGCTGTGCTGCACCGTGCTGAATTGCGATGTGCCATGCCGCGATGTGCTCTATAGCCTCGTGGATCGAGTCCTCCTTTGCATCCGAGTCCTGACCGAACTGATCTCGATCTTAAGCTCGAGCTGCCTGAACACATAGTAGCTGCCCCAGAGCTGATGGACAGGGGAGCATGTCAGGAGGACGCGCCGCGAAACGTCCCAAGGGATGCGCCAGGCGACGTGCCAGGGGACATGCCATGGGGTCGCACCGCGGGACGTGCCAAAGGGACGCTCTACGGAACGTGCCAATGGATGTGCCACGGGATGTGCCAGGGGACGCGCCACGCGACATGCCAGGGAGACTCGCCAAGGGACGCGCCACGGAACGTGCCACGGAACGTGCCAAGTTGCAATGCTGAGTGTATCGATCTTGATGTACCGTGCCGAAATCTGTGCTGTGCTGCGCCGTGCTGAATTGCGATGTGCCATGCCGCGATTGTGCTCTATAGCCTCGTGGATCGAGTCCTCCTTTGCATCCGAGTCCTGACCGAACTGATCTGGATCTTAAGCTCGAGCTGCCTGAACACATAGTAGCTGCCCCAGAGCTAATGGACAGGGGGGCATGCCAGGAGGACGCGACGCGGAACGTCTCAAGGGACCCGCCAAGCGACGTGCCAAGTGACGTGCCATGGGGACGCACCGCGGGACGTGCCAAGGGGACGCGCTACGGAACGTGCTGGGGACAAGCGTTTCGCTCGAGGCATCCTGCCAACATCCTCAGAATTCCTGCGCGCGGGACGCGGCACGCGCGAGACATCCTCGGAATTCTTGCGAGCGGGACGTGAAAACAAGCATTTCGCCTGAGACACCCTCTGAATTCTGGACCCCCACGAGGCCCCCCACGAGGCCCCTGCTCGAGACATCCCCCAACTTTGCAAAACCAGCGTTTCGCTCGAAACGTCTTCAGCAAATTATGAAAGACAAGCATTTCGCTCGAGACATCCTGCCAAAATTCAAGGAAATCCTAGCAAAACAAACGAATTAGTCGAGACATCCTCGAAATTCCTGCGCGCGGGACGCGGCACGCGCGAGACATCATCGGAATTCCTGCGCGCGGGGCGCTTTTCCGTGTCGCGGTTGGCTCTGCAAAACCAGCGTCTCGCTCGAGACATCCTCAACAAATTCTGAAAACAAGCGTTTCGCTCGAGACATCCCCAACTCTGCAAAACCAGCGTTCCGCTCGAGACATCCTCAGCAAATTCTGAAAAACAAGCGTTTCGCTAAGGACATCCTCAAATTTTAATTCGCCGGCCCTCTTCCCACTCGTTATTTATCGCAAAAGAAATTCGCCAGCCCTCTTCCCGTCAAACCCGGGGGGAAACCATCTAAAAGAGAACCCTGGGCTTATGCCCTTTCCGGGAAATAATCCCTGGCGAGGGGTTCGGGCACGGGGGGTACCCCCGCCTCAAATTCCGGACGAGGAATGAATTCTCAGCCGCGGGGGTGCCCGCGCGAGGGGCCCCAATCCCCCCAGCGCAACCAGAGGAGGAAAAGCGTGAGAGCCCAGATTGTAAGTGCAACGCAGCCACACTCTAATAGTGGTTGCACTAGGGAGTCGTGCTAGTAATAGGGAGTTGTACCAGGGATTCCTACTGGGCGTTGTAATAGGGAGTTGGACTAGTACTAGGGAGTTGCACAGGGAGTTGCACTAATGAAATTGCACTAGGGAGTTGCACTGAGGAGTTGTGTTCGAGAGATGCACTAGGGAGTTGTACTAATACTAGAGGGTTGTATTAGGGAGTTGCACGAGGGAGTTGTACTAGTACCACTTGTTCCAGGGAGTTGTACTTGGGGATTGTGCTAGGGAGTTGCACTACGGAGTTGCGCCAGGGAGTTGCACTGGCATAATGATACTTGCGCGGCACTCTAACTTGGACGGCAGGACAATGTGCTCTCTAGGAGCAACTGCGCGCTAGTACATGATAGTACCAATCGTACTCAAGTGCTAGTTGTACGGTAGTTGGGGGGGCTCAAGGGTTCTGATGGCAACTCGCGCGCGGAAGAAGGAAAGAAATCCATGTGCCGCCAAGGGTCCCGGGTTTAACGGGTCGCCGCGAAGGTTTACCCCCCGCGGAAAGAAGAAAGGAAATCCGGCCAGGGGGTTGGAGGGTTCAGGCACGAGTCGCGGGGCTGATGCCTCTGGCACCTTCGTTGGAGCTCCCCTTGGGGCCACGAAAAGCTGTGCTGGGCAGGGGGAAGCATGCGAACTGCGCCACTGGGACCTTCGGAGGAGCTCCCTCTTGGGCCACGAAACGCTGTACTGGGTGGGAGAGACGCGTGCGAACTGCGGAGCATGGAGGAGGGGGGGAGGAGGAGGAGGAGGAGGTGGAGGAGGAGGAGGAGGAGGAGGAGGAGGAGGAGGAGAGAGGAGGAGGAGGAGGAGGAGAGAGGAGAGGAGAGGAGAGGAAGGAGAGGAAGGAGAGGAGAGGAGAGAGGAGAGGAGAGGAGAGGAGAAGAGGAACGCGGGGACTGTCCCTTCAAAACGAGGACCCAACAACAGGTTGGTTCGACAAAAAAACGATGGGTGTTTGTTAATCGCGCCAGGCCCGGGCGCGATCATCAAAAACACGTGGTTTTTCACCGGCAGCATATACAGTGCGAATTTGTGTGGTTCGTGCTCCTCCTCCTCCTCCTCTTCCTCCCTCTTCTCCTCCTCCTCCTCCTCCTCCTCCTCCTCCTCCTCCTCCTCCTCCTCCTCCTCCTCCTCCCCCGAATTCTACTCCACATTTTCCCTTTCAGGCTATGGCGGAGGAGGGCCCTACGAGCCGAGACTGCGAATCCTGAAACAGAGAGAGCGTAATTACTGCGGCTTGGGAGCCAGAGGAGCCTCTTGGAGGTGTCTCGGGCAGTTGGGAGTGGTCTATGGCCTGTTGTGGAGTCTGGGGCTTGGTGCGGGGCTTGCAGGGCCAAAGGAAGGTCCTCCTTGTCACCCCTGCTGGGGCGCTGGGGTGCTGGTCTGAGGGCTTCCTGCTCCAGGGCTGCAGGGGGGTCCACGATCCGAAGGTTCTGGAGGGAGTCTGGGACAGGTCGGAGTGGTCTATAGGGCCTAGTATGGGGTCTTGGGCTTGTTTTGGTACATCCGGGAAAGGACCCCCCTGTCACCCCCGCCTGGGTGCCTGGCGTGGAGGTCTGAAGGCTCTCCGCTCTGGGGCTGGGCTCCCCGGAGGCTCGCTTGGCGGCCCCGCGGAGTGCCTCCAAGGCAGGCGCGACGAAGCCGTAGCAGAGCAGCTCGTTGGACCTGAGCAGCTTCGCGAAGCTGTGAGTCTTATTCAAGATCTCTGAGGGCTTAGAGGTCCGGAACACGCATGTGAGGCTCTCGAGAAGGTCAGGGGGATCTCAGAGTGGTCCGGGGTCCGGGCTGGGGTCTGGGGCGCAGTGCGCCTGGGGTACAACAGGAGGCTCTTGAGAGGGTCTGAGGCA